AGTTCAATCCTCAGCACTCAAAAAAAAAAGTACAGTTTTTGTGTTTATTTCATATATTTTACCCCAGGATAGACCATTGTATGGAAGGTTAGCTTTGTGGGTTAAATTTCTACCAGAAATGATTGTTTCATACTTCATAAATGTAAATATCTTACTAGAGCCTTAACTAATTATATACTTATCACTAAGCTTTTTCGGTGTTTTATATTATTATTTTACTATTATGAAGTAACTAGTATAACTCACAGGTGAGTAGAATTTGAGTTCCATTGGAAAACTCACAACATTAGATTTCCTAGAGTCACTCCCATCTTCACACGGCAAATAAAAATCCTATATAGAGTACTTGAACACCATGAATGTATGAATACATGGTGGTTTACCTCTATGATGCTTTGGAGATGCTTAATCATCTGTGCTAGATGGAGCTCCGTGTCCTTCCAGTTGTTCTGCAGCTGTCTGATTCTCTTGTTCATGGACTCTTTTGCTTCCAGGTTAGGTGCGTTCAGTAATTTCTCCCCAGCTTCCAAGGTTAGTGCATAGGTGGTTTGCCATCTCTGAAAATGGATTTCCTTATTCTGAAAAGAAAAAAAAATATTGATTTCAATCACTGATGTGATACAAATGTGATGGTGTGTGTTTGTCTAGATTTCCTTCAAAGCACTTCTTTTCTTCCTTCCTTCTCTTCCTCCTCTCTTCTGCTCTCCCTTCCTCTGTCACTCCCCACTCCTCTTGCTGGTACCAGAGATTGAACCGGAGGCACTTTACCACTGAGTATATTCCCAGCCCTTTTTATTTTTTTAATTTTCAGATAGGGTCTTACTAAGTTGCTTAGGTCCTTGTTAAGTTGCTGAGGCTGGTCTTGAACTTGCAATTTTCCTGTCTCAGCTTTCTGAGTACCTGGGATTATAGGTGTGCATCGTGGTGCTTGATTTGAAAGCTTTTCTTAAATGTTAAATTAGACATAGACCAAACAAATCTGGTTAGAACGGGCATCATGCACAAGCACTTACACATGTATACATGGGCTCTTAGCCACTTCCAAAGCTAATGTTTTACTTTGAGTAGACAGCACATTACCAAGGAAGATGTTCTTAAAATAATTAATTAAGATAAATAAATAAAACAAGGTTTAGTAAGAGATTAACATTCTTAGTGTAATGATGGAAAGGGAAGTTTAAAATATATGCTTCATAGAATAAAAGCTTATAAAGGTAAATGGATCTAAGTGTATTAAGAAAATGATTTAGTATTAGACCCGAAATTATCATTCGTACTATTTATCACCATGGCAATCCAGAGGAGTATAATGGGCATATCATCCTGAACAAATGTAAAAGAGGACAGAATAAAAGAGGTTAAAAAAAAAACACTTCAAGATTATTACACAAACATGTATATTAATACATGCACTAAAAGGACACTTTAAAACAATTCTACCTGAACATCATAAAGGCTTTTCTTTAGTGAGGATGTAAATTAGCTATTTATAAATACAAAAATGAAGTAAAAATTTTTAATTGATTCATGCTTCTGAAAGAATTTGCTTTCATGGGAAAAATTTCGATACCTTTTTTCTTTCCAAATATGATTTCCTTCATCTTCAAATTTCTTATCTAGGACATAAGGTAGACATTTCCAAGACAGAAGCTGATAAACAACAATGAGCACTGATTTACGTACAAAGGTGTTTCTGGGAAGACTTGAGATCATTCGAACCCAAAGGAGCAGAGGAAATAAGAGAAACTGACTCCAGGAACATACCCCGTCCCCCCAGATCTTCCAGCCCCTCTGCCACCTGGTCTTTCTCTTCCCTGGCTTGGTCTCCAGCCCCAAACGAGAGTCATCCTGGACTGCATTTTTCTTTACTTGCCACATTCAAACTGTTAGTGAATTTTGTAAACTCTATCTACAAAAATAGCCCTTAAAAAAAAAATCTCCACTCAGATGGCTCTTGTCTTAGCTATCATAACAACTCTCCAAGACTACAGGAACAGCTTCCAACTGGTATGGCAAACTGTTTTTTTTTTTTTCTCATAAAATAATCACAACACTCTCAGTCCCACAAGTTCTTCTGGAACCTTGCCACTGTTCATCACATGGTGGTCCCTTTGTCCCCTCCTCTTGAACCTGTGTGGGTGTGTCTAATGGCCTTGATTAACAGAATATGGCAGATGGGACATGTGTAACTTCTGAGTTTGGCTCTAACCCATCTCCCATACCTACCCCTGTACTAGGGATTGAACCAGGGGCACTCTACCATTGAGCTATATCCCTGGCCCTTTTAATTTTCTATTTTGAGATAGGATCTCACTAAGTTGTCTAGGCTGGCCTTGAACTTGCAATACTCCTGCCTCAGCCTCCCTAGTTGCTCAGATAACAGGTGTGTGCCACTGTGTCAGGCACTATCCACTCATCTTTGCTTCCAGCTTCATCCCATGGCCCAAGAAAGCCCTCTATTTCTATGGTTATTATTACTGTTTTTTGGTGCTGAAGATTAAACCCAAGGGTGCTCTACCTCTAAAGCACATTCTCAGCCATTTTTATTTCTTAATTTGAGGAAGAGTCCAATTAAGTTGCTTAGGTCCTTGCAAAGTTGGTAAGGCTGGCTTTGAACTTGAGGTCCTCCTACTTCAGCCTCCCAAATCGCTGGGACTATAGGTATGTACCACTGCCCCTGGATGAGCCTTGCTATTCTAGATGAACAGGTATATTGGAGTTTCTAATCCTACAAGGCTAGACCAGGCGGTGGACTGTGGTGACTATATCCAGCTGGCTTCCCATTGAGCAGAGCATACTTGGAGAAAATACAAAACTTTAGGTGAATGAACATTTAGCAAATGATAACTACCTCATGTTTCTCACACTACTGCTGCATGCATTACCTTTAGCTCATGGATTAGACTTCTGATTTGGTAGAGGCTGTAGCAATCCTGATCCTTTACTGCGGACAGCATGTGGCTAGTGTTGGTGAGGAAGCGGAACAAGTCCTCCATGGAGGAGGTGAAGTATAGCCACTGCCTCACCAGCTGGTCAATGTCACTCTTCCTCTGCCGAATGCCTTGGGCAGCACTCTGCCAGTGGTCCGTCAGATTTGAGAATTCCAAAACAAATTCTGGTCTGGGAAAAATAGATGGTTAGAGATTCTTGACATGATCACACAAGAAATAATAACTGTCAGTGAGTCATAGAAACTCAGATTTGCTATTTGTATGTACAATTTGCATCAAACAACTTGTTAAAATTTGAGACCCATTCCACTTAAACCTAAGGGGAAGCTTTGGAAGAGGCAATGTGTGGTTGGCAAAAAGTGTTTAGCAGAAGATAATCTGCATATAATTGGTGTTTTGCCAGTATATACAATTATTTCCTTAAACAAACTGAGCAGTGTTAACATATATTATGCCACATGCTGCCTAGAAATCTTGGAGTTGGCATCGAAAGGAAACAAATGAATAGGCAGGTACCTTGTGGTGTTACTGATTACTGGAAATTGTTCTTAAATTTTAAGAATAAAGAGCCTGCCACATGAGCCAGCTACAGGAAGAGTTCAGTTATGGTCAGCAGACTGGCCATGGGGGCTCTGCTCAGCTAGACCAGCACTGGTCCTAACCCCAGGCGGTCAGCCTGGAGAGAAGTCCCTTCTTTAACAACTATGACATGGTTTCTTATTAGGAACAGAAGCATTTAAAAACTTATTTTGAAATAACAAACCATCATGAGGGTGATGAAACATATTACAGAAGAACCATTCTGGATTAAAATTTACTATACCTGGGGAATGGGTATTTTCAAAAGCTTCTGTGCTACTGACCCCATCCATCTACCATAGGGAAAAGAGCCACCGGTGTTTTTATGGCCACACAGCAAGACCCTGTCCTGATGTACTGCCAGAAGACTGGACTCATAGTGATCTATCAGCTAACCTGGCTTCAGGGCATGGACACGAGCAGAATAATGTGCTGGCAGTTAAAAGAAGTAAGTTCTAGTTTTCTGTAGCAAAGTGGGTGACTATGAGTCACAACCTTCTTCATATTTTAAGAAGAACTGGAAGAGAGGTGTTTGGGGGTTCTAAGTATAAAGAAAGGGTGAGGAGATGGAAAACTAATTACTCTGACTCGGTCAGTGCACACACACACAAAAAAAAAAAAAAAAAAAAAAGAAAGAAAGCGAAAGAGAGAGAAAGGAAGAAAGATCTGCATGTCAGAGGTCTGTCTCAATCAACTGCATTATTTCTGTAAGTCCTAGAGGGCTTACCTCTTTTCTATTTCTGTTGTGTCCAGGAGTTGTAGGGACTGGGTGACATAAGAATCAGCAATTGTCTGGTTTATAGAAACTTCAGCTTCTAACATCTGCATGGGTCAAAACATAAAATTCTCAGCTAGAATTCGTTTTTATGAGTGTGGAGATCCCTTCTTTTACAACTACAACATAGCTTCCTGGTACAAATTTCTTATTAAAATCTATGATGGCAGGGGATATAGAAATGATTTGTTTTCAAGTTATTTGAGTTCAACTGGAAATGCTCAACCATCACCCCAACATTTCCTTAGAGCAAATAGGTCTAATCATAATTATGCCTAAATGCTCATTTCCATTGGATTTTTTTTTTGTACTGGGTTTTAATCTAAGGGTGCTTTACCACTGAGGCACACCCCCAGCCCTTTTCAATTTTTATTTTGAGACAAGGTCTCACTAAGTTGCTTAGGCTGGCCTTGAAGTTGTGATCCTCCTGCGTCAGCCTCCCAAGTTGTTGGGATTTCAGATGTGTGAGTGCCATCCTGCCAGGCTCCATTGGATGATCTTAGTAACAGTATAGACTAAAATCAGTTATGTTAAAAAGTAACAGTGAAATAATCAGGCACACTTTGCAGGATTTGCCACCAGGAGGATTTTGAATATACATCAGTATAGCAAGGGGGAATACTTCTGTGAACTACTAAACGTTGCAATTATTATTGCAGAGGGTACTTCACTCCTATAGAGAATTAGTGAAAATGCAGAAATGAGCTGAAGTAATTTAGTATGCTCTCGGTATATTATTTGATGGGTATATTTGCATTCTGTAGAAGCAAAGTTATGCTAGAAGCTTCCATGCACTGCAGGAAATCTAGGAGTGCTGTCACTTATAAAACATTGTAACAAAATGTTGAAACGTATGAAATGTGTGAGAAGTTTACAAATGATCAGTTAATTACTGAATTTGCTTAAAGATGTTCACTCTGTAGTTAGAGAGTGATAGGTAGGTACTTATTGTATTTGGATCTATCTTTCCCGGACTCCTGCTCCAGAGAGCACAGGTTTACCTCATAAGCTTTCTGCTGTTCCAGGAGAGCAGGGAGGCTGTTGGCAATATTCACTTTGAGCATCTCTTCTATCTTTTCCAAAAGTTGCACCCACTTTTCACAACAATGAAGAAAATTTTCATTTAACCCACTTTCCAGCAGCTCGCTGCAAAGGTTTAAAAACAAACAAAACAGTACCACGTGATGACGACTTTCCTGAACTTGAGCTGTTCATTTTACCCAAATTGGAACAATGGCACAGATGGGATGTTCTGACCTGCAGCGGTCCAGCGCTGTGGCAGTGGCGCGAATCCATTGCCGGTTCATATTCTGTAATGTCTTCAGGGGCATGTCACTGAGTGGGAGCATGAGGCTGTCTTCATTCAGACGTTCAATGTCAGGAGACTGGGCTATCAATGCTAGCACATGATTCTATAAAAAAAATAAAGACCAGATTTTTGGATGCCAATAAGAATACTTAGATGATGAAATGGCCTCCTTATCTTAAAGATGAGGGAAAACTGGGGCCTGAACAGGTGAATGACTTGCCCACAGTTAGTTAGCTAGACATTGAAATAGCCCAGGAAGTAGGAAGGGAAATCAATTTTTTTTTGTCTGAGCAAGACTGAAAATAGGCTCAAACAAAATATACCCCCAGCAAAGCATGATAACTTAAACCATACTTTAAGAAAATATTATTCCCATATTTTGATAGAATATAAAATCACAAGAAAGCAAATTCATTAACATTTTACCTGTAAAAAGATATTCTAGGTACAGCCTGTAAGTAGGTCAATAATATGTTAAGCAAACATGTCTCACAATATCCATATTATCACTATAGAACTCTACTGTAATAGTCTAGGTCAAGGTCAGCAAACATTTTCTGCAAAGGGCCAGATCATACATATTTTATGCTTGAACTGAACATGGTGTTGAGCACCGGGAGTCCCTGCTCCTTGGCATCCTGGGGCAGGAAGACTGCTTGAAGCTACAAGTTCTAAGTCTGAGCAACATAGGAAGACCCCATCTCAACAAACAAAAACCATAAATAAGTAAATAAATAAATGCGTTAGGTTTTTGTAGGCCATATGATCTCTATAACAACTCTTCAACTCTACCCTTAAAGTATGAAAAGTCTCATAGAAGATGTGTTAATGGAGGGGCATGTCTGGCTTCAAATAAAACTTTATAATAATAGCAGGTTGACTTGAATTTGGATATGGTACCTCATTTGCTGCTCCTCATCTAAGGTTATAAATATCAATCCTTAAGAGTTGCAAGATCCAGAATTCCTAAATTCTTTCATTCACTTATGCTAACTATACAAAATTTATTAAGGTAATTTTTAAAAAGGAAAAAAATACACAATTTTTTTCTTTCTTTGCAGTATTGGGGATTGAACCCATGGTCTCATGCATGCTAGGTAAGTGCTTACCACTGAGTTACACCTCCAGTTCCCTTTTTTAAACTTTGAGACAGGGTATCACTAAGTTGGCCAGGCTGGCATCCCAGTTGCAATCCTACTGCCTCAGCCTCCTAAAGACTCTAGGGTTACAGGCATGTGCTACCATTCCCGATAAAAAAACATTCTGTAACTGATGTGATTCTGCAATCTGAATATGGGGTAAAAATGGGAGTTCATAACCCACTTGAATCAAAGTGTGAAATATGATATATCAAGAACTATGTAATGTTTTGAACAACCAACAATAAAAAAATGTGAAAAAAAACAAAAACAAAAACAAAAAACATACCATTCAGATAGAATATTTTACACTTGATCTTCAACCAACCAGAAAAAATAATCACAGTAGCTGATTTTGGTTCACATAAGTTAATTAATAAGAACCACAAAATAACAGAAAATCTAGGAAAAGTTACTATGACTTTTTACTAAAATAGATCTCCATGTGTTCTACTTTTCTAGACCCTAGAAAAAATAGGGCAGGAATAAATGGTTAGCAAATAACTGTGCTCAAGTGTTAATTAGGGTGGAAACTGATTCTATAGTGCAACAGTAATTAGCTTATTTTTTTCATCCTATGGTGAGTGTAAGCCCTGAGGAAAGACAAATATTGCCAATACCAGGAACGAGCCAGGATTTTCTTCTTTGTCTTGTTGGTAAAGTTTATCCAAATTCTCTTCCTCGTGTATAATGAGGCCTTTTAAAGATTCCAGCCGGTTCTCAAAATCCTTAAACTGTGAGAGAACAAACTAGAAGGAGAGATATTCATTACAAACAGTTTCCATGAGCATATATCACAGAGTTAGCATAGCCTTGGGGAAGGATAAAAGTTCAAGTATTTGCCACCCCCAGCAGCTCATTACTGTCTGAAAAGTTCATAGACCACTAATCTGAAGACCATAGATTTTCACCCAGTGCGTCTGACCTTCATAGAAGGAAAGCTCACCTGTTGAGGGGACCACACAGAGGAGAACCAGCTCTTAGGCCTGCTAGTTTTACTTCTTGTTGCTATTGAGACTTGAGACTGGCACTCCAAGGCCTCTATATAGCTCACACATTAAAAGCTTTTCAGAAAGTGAATAAACAATATAGCAACTGGCCATCCAGCAGCTACTTCTATGACTCAACTGCCCTACTAGGAAATCTAAATAAAACATCACATTTTTAAACTAACACATTCCATTAAGATCTTCCCATGCCCAAGTGATTGAAGACAGAATAACACCGGGTGTTGTCATTCTGCTCTTTCCCTTACGTGCTGTCCAAAAAGCACTCTTAAGAGGGATTGAGATTAGCACATCAATGTCCACGACTACAATTTGAATGGAAAAGTAAGATGAACCTCAAATTCATTTGCTTTCACAAGCAGCATCTTTTCCAAATAAATAGCTCTCCGGAGGGAATACAGTTGACCAGAAAAGAGCCCCGAGGCGTTGGACTCTGCAGGTTGTGGGAATCGGTCCAGGAGGATGGAATTTTGGAGAAAGACTTCTTTTGTCTTCTGCACTTCCTGCTTCAGCTCCTGGAGAAGAAAGAGGAATCATACTTTTCCCTCCTTTCACATCAGTCTCTAGCCCCTGCCACTCCATCAGCATCAAAAAAATCTAGAACTTTTGCCTTGAACTTGTGGGCTTACCTTTTTGTTACTGTTCCTTTTAAGTAGCTGAGAAAGCTAAGATCTCTTCAAATGAGGTGTCTCACTGAACCGTTCTGAAATTTGTCAGTTCACAGCTAAAACTGACCACTGTCCAAAAGAGTTGAGAGATCTAGTTTATGGAAGCTGCAGACCAACTGTTTAGACTCGTGTGTTTGTAGATTGCACACCATTTCAAGAATCATTGTGATCTGGACCCCTTCTCCTCAGACTTCCTGATATAAACGTGGACTCACTTTGCAGAGGCTATAGAATCTCAATCAAGCGGATTTTAGGACTACATTTGGTGATGTTTTGTGTTTGAAATTTCAAGATTTTTGTTTTGTTTTAAAACAACCAATCAGGTAGAAGTAGATTAGAAATATGGCTCAGCTGCATTCCTATGTCTTTAATTCAACTGTTTACTTTGTTTTGATTTGAACATCAGAAGATCCAAAATACACCTGGTCACTAAGTTTAAAACTAAAAATTATTCACTTTCTGGACATTTCGTAACTCTAATATGAAAAACACCACAGAGGAGACTGTACTGCTCTTAAATATCCTCTAAAAATCACTACTCCCACAGAAAAGTGGCACCAAGTTCATGATTATTTCTAAAACAAGAGATTCCTTAATGGCCCCACTCTGGGGAGACACTTTTCCTTTTTTTTGTTTAATATCGTTAGTTGTAGATGGACACAATACCTTTATTTATTTTTTGTGGTGCTAAGATCAAATCCAGTGCCTCCTATGTGAGAGGTAAGCGCTTCACCACTGAGCGACAACCCCAGCCCACACTTTTGCTTTTATCTCAGACTTTATATAAGGCTTTTGCTTCAGAGATTTAACTGCCAGAGTCAAAGTGTTGACTTAGAACATGGTGCTTCCAGGTCCCTCCTGGCTGCTGCCGGAACCTCTGCTCTGAGCTGCCAGCTGCTCTGTTCCTCTCAGCCCCACACATTCCGCCTCGCTGTCAGCCTGGGCACCTGGTGCCTCAGGGCACTTGTCCTGACTGATATCTCTGAGGTCTGTCTTATTTCAAGGTTGAGGCTGTCCCTCACTGGCCCTGTCAGCTGGGCTGACTTGGCTTTGGTTTCCCATTGGGCTCTGTACCCACCTTTATGTCCTGCAGGGCCACTGGCAGGATCTCTGCCAGGTTGTTTCCAGACATGTTGATGTTTGCAAGCTGTTGAAATTTGGCTTCCTGCTGCTCTAGCCTTGCCGTGGCTTCCACATGAGCACTTCGATAAACTTTCCAGAGCTGGAGCAGAGTCTGGGCCTCCTGCAACTGATCTGCAAGATCTTGGTTTACCTGGGTCCACCTGTCAGTGCAATGTGACAACAGGACCCTCATTCCATCCTTTTTCTTATAGCAAAAGTATAATATACACACTCAACTATGAATTTAAGAGTAGGTGGATAAGACACTGCCAAATGCTTTTTAAAATGAATGGCATCACCATTTAATAAACCGCAATATAAACAGATCCAAATCAGGATATTTACTTGACTATAGTATTCAACAAAAGTGACAACATTGGTGATTAGCAAGAAATATCCACTGTATTATGAATACCTCTTAGGCAAAGGGGGAGAAAGCACTAAATTGTACACCTGATGAAGCTTCTCCATGTGGGAGATACTTCCAATCCACAGAGAGTTTCTTTAAACAAGTCTTAAAATGTGTTTATGTCAAGTAAGTTTATTTTCCAATAAAATCAAAAAGCAAAATATCACTTTTATAAACGTAAATGGGAATTGTTTTATTCCATATACAGTCTATATCTTGCGTTTCTCTCCTATGTGACTTTTAAAAATATATTTTTTTCAAGTTATTAATAAAAAATAAGAAAATCTAATTTTAAACAACTGGACAAAATGGTCTGCAAATAGTACAAGTTGAACTTGTACATGCGGTGGTGACCAGGACTCTTCAAATAGCAACCGTACTACCTTAAGTTGAGGGTGGCCCTGATAACTCTATGTGTAGTTGAATATATTTCTATGCTCCTGCTTACTCCCTTTTCCAATATAGACTGGATCGAGACCTGAGGACATCACTGCAGGGTAGAGAGTTTGATTTCCTTTGTTCAGTACTTGTTCAAAGTTGATTTATTGGAGTGGCTGCATCTGCGTGGAGGAGGAGTGGAGAAGGACCCTCAAGGCGGCTTGACCTCTTTGTCCTTGTCTCCAGCACATTCGCTTTCATATATATGCCCCAAATCAAAGTCTTGCAATTAATGAGGGCCACACACTTTGGAAAGACTTTCATATGCCACAAGCGGCAATTTTTCAAAGAATTCCTTCCAGTCACAAATATTCCTTCCTTTCCACCAGAAATGGCTTCCCCAAGAGATACAACGTTCTTTTTTTTTCCAGCTTACAATGTTTATGGTGATGCTTGATGGACTCCTGCAATCCACCCACCCGGCCCACCCCTTAGTGTGTTTCTGCCACTGCCTCTGATGTTCCTGAGATGGCTCCTGACATTCAGTGCATGCTCTCTGTAAGTGGCTACCCTGGGGCTGTAATTAGGGCATTTTTAGATTCATGTCCAATTACTACAGGAGGCACATGCCAGCCCTCACACGGCATCTAATTGTACATGAACTAGACCATTGAAAGCAGAGGCCAGAATAATATAGAACCAGTCATCTCAGAGGACCAGGAAGACCTTACAAGACCTTAGGTCTATCATTCTGATTGCATCTTAAAGTGTACCTTGCATGAGTGTCTTGGCATTTCTCTTCAATTATTTCAGCAACTGAGGGGCAGGAATCTTTGAGTCTATGAATAACCTCCCGGAGTTTCTCCCAACTCCCTTCGCTGATCTCAGCTTCATCTTGAAGAGACTAAGAACAGAGCAGGAGAGTCAGTTTCAGATGGCCTTCCCACTCCACGGAAGACAGCAGTTCTTGCTTCTCAATGCTACACAATGAGAGCAGTCACACAGTAAAACTTTTTTTTTTTTTTTTTTTTTTTTGCAATGCTAGGGTTGGAACCCAGGACCTTGCATGTCGTAGGCAACTGCTATACCTCTAAAGTACACCTCTAGCCCCACAGTAAAACTTTTAAATTGCAAAATAATATGAACATGGAAAATGAAGGAAAATCAACGTATGGTTTGATAGTTTTACTCTTTTGCTCACATGACTCACTTTAGAATTTAAAGGTATACTTTACGTTTTTGATCCTGGGGATTGCTCCCAGAGGCCCTCTACCACTGAGCTACATCCTCAGCCCTTTTTCTTTTTTGATACACAGTTTTGCTAAGTTGCTGAGGCTGGCCTTGAACTCACAATCCTCTTGCCTCAGCCACCCTAGTCCCTGGGATTACAGATATGTGTCACCATGCCCATGCCTGGCTTTAAGGTATACTTTTTTTTTTTTTTTTAAGTTGTAGATGGACACAATACCTTTATTTTTTATTTTAATTTAATTTTCATGTGGTGCTGAGGATTGAACCCAGTACCTCACACATGCTAGGCAAGCACTCTACCACTGAGCTACAACCCAGCCCCCCAAGGTATACTTTTATTTAATATATTTTTTGGGGGTGCTAGGGATTGAACTCAGGGGCACTTGACCACCGAGCCACATCCCCAGTCCTATTTTGTATTTTATTTAGAGACAGGGTCTCACTGAGTTGCTTAGCACCTGGCTTTTGCTGAAGCTGGCTTTGAACTACTAATCCTCCTGTCTCCACCTCCCAAGCCACTGGGATTCCAGGTGTGTGCCACCAAGCCCGGCTCAAGGTATACTTTTGATATTGCATTAACACACTGTTTGGGGCTTCTCTGTGGAGGCACAAACCCACATGCATCCTTTATTGTTCTTGCTTCCATTTGGAATTTCCTGCCAATAATGCACTGCACCACACTCTGGCTAATTTACCTGAAGGTTCTGCACCTGGCACCTCAAGGCCTCCAGTGACAACACCACAGGCTTGCTGTGTTCCATGCAGTACCCAAATTGGATCGCCAGCATGTTCACTTCATCGTAGAGTTTATCATACAACTTCCACTCCTGTAGCACCGACTGCATGAAGCTTTTGAGCTCACTGACCTATATGAAAAAAGGAAACAGAACTCATTTAGAAAATCCTTGACAAGACATGGTCTCTTGAGAGCCCTGGAAAAGGACAGTGAGCAAGGAATGGAATCCGAGTGCACTGCTCAGGTATACTGTATTAGTTTTCTGGCCTTGGGTAAATTATTTAACCCTACTGTTGTCTTCCTCATCCACAAAAACAGAGATTAATAAAAGAAAAAACAAACAAACAACCCCCGCCCCAATAGGATCTGTGAAAATGCTCTAATAACTGCAAATATGATACCTTGAACTTGGGTCTGATTATTGCAAAGTAGTTACAAACTGGTGAGAACCCTGCCCTAGCCAAAGGATGGGAAAGAGCAAAGTTGGACAAAAGGCAAACAGTGGGTCCATTTTATCCATTGGTATGTTTTGATAGTGATGAAAGGGGTTGAGCATTTTGTTGCCAATCAAAATGACTTTAGATACGACTGTGAGTAAAAGGATACAATTCAATGATAAAAGACAATAACCAAACTGAAGAATAGGAGAAGGACTTGAGAAGACATTTCTCCAAAAGGTACACCCATGGTCCATAAGCACTTGAAAAGATGCTCCACTCCATAGTCATCAGGGAAATGTCAATCAAAACCACATGGAGATATCAATTTGTATCTACTTTGATGGCCAGGATCAAAAAGTCAGATAACAACAGGTGAGGGCGTGGCAAGAATCCTCACACACTGCAGGTGTGGATGTAAAAGGATGTAGCCACTGTTAAAATCCATTCCACGGTTCCCCATAAAAGACAAACAGAAGCTGGCTGTGGTGGCACACACCTATAACCCTAGGTACTTGGGTGGCTGAGGCAGGAGGATTACAAGTGTGAAGCCAGCCTGGGCAATTTAGCAAGACCCTGTCTCAAAATAGAAAGAAAAGAAGGGAGGGGGGAACTGGGAACATAGCTCAGGACTTGCCTTGCATGTACAAGGCCCTGAGTTCAATTTCCCAGTACCACCAAAATGAAAAAGTCAAATTACCACTAGACCTAATAATGGTATTTGTAGATACAGATTCAAGAGTACAAAAAACATATATTTGCACAAATGTTCATGGCAGTGTGGTTCCTAAGAGCTAAAAAGTAGAACTAACCCAAACATTTACTAACTGGTGAACAGATGAACTGCATCTGTTCTATATAATGAAATAGTCAGTCATAAAAAGAAATGAACTACTGATACAAACTACAATATTGATAACCTTGAAAACATGCTAGGGGGTCAGGGTATGCTGAGAGATAGAGCAAATGCTTAGTATGCAGGGGCCCTGGGGATCCTCAGCACAAAAAGAAAGAAGAGTGGTGTGGTGAGGGGGGAAATCCTCACCAGGGTCGTTTTTTTCTCAGAAACTGAGACCTGCATGGGTGGCAACTGCCCAAGGTATCCATCGGGTAGTGGTTTCAGGACATCCCATCAGAAAACAAAATCTAAGGATGTTCAAATCCCTTATGTAAAGGGACGCAGTATTTGCACATAAGCTCTGCACATCCTCCTATACAATTTACACTATTTCTTGATTACAGATGATACCTAACACAATGTAAATAGTTATCTAGGGAATAATAACAGGGGGAAAAGTCTGTATATCTTGAGTACAGACACAATTTGTCCCCCAAATATTTTCAGTCTGTAATTGGTTGACTGTGTGGATGCAGAGGCCAGCCTGTCCCAGCTCATCCCCGAGCCCACAGGTGCACTGCTCTACAAGGATGGCCAGGTGCATGCTGTGCAAGGTGCTCACAGCTTCCATGTAGAGAGGTGGTGCCTCCCAGGGGCCCCTTTTAATACTGCACCTTCATGGAGAAGACATGGTATGTGTGGTTTGAAGGAAAAGAAGAAATTTATTAAGAAAAACTCACTACAGCAGAAAGAAGAAGGAGAAATGTTTTCAAAATGTGAAAACTGGGATCAGCCGTAGAGTAGCATTTATTGAGCACTGATAGGCATCGTGGTTGAGGTAAGAAGAAATGAGTAGGTCTTATCATGCCCACTCTGTAGATCAGGAAACAAAGGCTTAGAGAAACAACCTCCCCAAGGTTGATATAGACAGACAATGATGTTATGAGGATCTCTTTAAAACCGTGACCAGAGTCCTTGCTCTTAACATAAGGCTATATTGACTCTGAACATCTTACGGATGGAGGATTCCAACTTATACCCTCTGTATTTTAAAAACAATACTTTACTGAGATACAATTAACATACCACACAATTCACCCATTTTAAAAGCACAATCTTCATAACTAATTTTAGAATATTTTTCTTTCCTTTGGTATTGGGGTTTGAACACAAAGGTGTTTCCCAGTGAGTGACATCTCCACTTCTTTTTATTTTAAGACAAGGTCCCTCACTAAGTTGCTGAGGCTGGCTTCAGACTTGCAATCCTCCTGCCTCAGCCTCCAGGTTCTCTGGGATTACAGGTGTGTGCCACCATGAAGAACATCTTCTGTCACTCCAAAACCAAAAGCCCATGCCCATTGGCTGTCACTTTTCCCAGCCACTAATCTACTTTCCACCTCTACAGATTTGCCTATGCTGGATTATTTCATATAAGTGGAATCATATGATATGTAGTCTTTTATGACCAACTTTTTTCACTTAACATAGTGCTTTTAAGCCCCTCAATGCTGTAAAATACACTGATACTTCACTCCTTCTTATAGCTGCATATTCTATTATATAGACATATCACATTTTATATAAACATTCATACATTGATAGATAATCAGTTATTTCTCCTCTTTGGCTATTATGAATTATAGTTATGAATATTCATGTACAAGTTTTTTGTTTTAATTTCTTTTGAATTATCTAAATCTGATGGAATTGCTGAGCAGATGTCAATCTACCTAACCATTAAAGGAACCATCAGGCTATTTGCCTATGTAGCTGCACCATTTGACATCCCCGTGAACTGTGATTGAGGGTTAGTTTCTTCCCATCTTTTCTAACACTTGCTGTTGCCTTTGTTATCGTTATCCTCACAGATGTGAACTGGCATTTCATTGTGGTTTTGATTTTCATTTCCTTGATGGTTAACGTCATTAAGCATGTTTTCATGTACTTATGGCTATTTGTATTATATTCTTTTTTGCAGTACTGGGGACTGAATCTAGGGATTTGTGCAAGCACTCTGTCACTGAGCTATATTTCCAGTCCTTTTTTTTTTTTTTTTTTAATTTGTTTTCAGACAGGCCTTGGTAAATTGCCCAGGCTGGCATTGAACTTGTAATTCTCCTGCCTCAATCAATTTATCTATCTTTTCATATCATATCTAGAAAACCAGTCATGAATTGGGTATAGTGGTGCATGCCTGTACTCCCTGATACTCCAGAGGCTGAGGCAGGAGTATCAGGGATACAAATTGGTACAGCCTGGGCAAGGCAAGACCCTGTCTCAAAATTAAAAAATAGTAATAATAAATAAAATAAAAAGGGACTAGGGATGTAGCTCAGTGGTAGAGCACCTCTGGATTCAATTTCCAATACTGAAGGAGAAAAAAAAAGAAACAAAGATTTTTTAAAAAGTCATGAAGATTGATACCTGTTCTAAAAGTTTTACAGTGTTAGCTTTTACTGTGTCCTTGATTCATTTTAAGTTAACTTGTGTATATGGTGTGAATGTGGGTGTCTGGTGGTGCCAGTGCCTTTTTTGAAGATTTTTCCCATGAATGAATCATCTTGACACCCTTGTTAAAAAAAATATAAATGAACTGTACAGCGAGGGTTTTGAACTCTCAATTCTATTCTATTTACTTGTCTGTCCTGATAGCACTATTATCTGCGTATTTGTCATATTACCTCATTTCATTTTCCCCCTCTATATTTTTACATTGTAATTCACAGTATTATGATTATGTTTCCTCCGCTGCCTGTGAGATCTTGGAGGGCAGGATTTATTTTTTTCTTATCTTACTCCTGGTAGTGAGCACAGGGACTCACACAAGATAAGTTTAACAAACTACTGAGCAAACTCTTCCCTATTTTTCTGCTGGAGTCCTGGGAAGGGAAGGAGGCCGGAGGCTGCTACAGGTCTCATTCATGCAGCTTCTTCCCAATTCCCTCGTGGAACTCATGGTTGAAAGTCAGTTTTAGCAGACGACAAATAACCCACATTGAGGATTGTGGGAGAAACATGGACACACCTGCAAGTGGTTAGTATTTACAGCTTGTCCCTCAGTTGCTAGGAAGTGCAGGCAGTCAGGTTTGGAGTTGCCTGGTCTTTCCCTCCATCTGGGGACTTTGACATGCCTTTCATAAGATTACCAGGTGTCCAGCACACTCTTTCCCTCTGTTCTTTTTTTTGGGGGGTGGGTGGGTGGGTGGGAAGGGGGTGGTGATACCAAGGGCACCCGACCACTGAGCCACATCCCCAGCCCTATTTTGTTTTTTATTTAGAGACAGGGTCTCACTGAGTTGCTTCATGCCTCACTTTTGCTGAGGCTGGCTTTGAATTTGGGATCCTCTTGCCTCAGCCTCCTGCACCACCATGCCTGGCTCCCTCTATTCTTACTCTTCACTACTGTGCTGTGTTTTTGCCCTCCTCCAGAGTTCTCTCTAAGCTGACCATGCTCCTAGCCTACAGAGGCTACATGACAAGATCAGTTCCTGAGGCACTGCCCTGTGTGTGGGGAGCCTGAGCTGCTGCTTCATAGCTGCTCCTGTGTATCTGTCTGGGAAACAATGCCAGATGCTCTGTTGGGTTTGGGGGATAGAGACATTTGTGTCTGCATGAGTACATTAGACAAAACAAGGACAGTCAAGTGGATTTCCTGCCTGTCAGTGATGTCAGGAGCAGTGGCTTTGCCTCAAATTATTCAGCACATAAAATAGGATTCGAAAGGCTTTTCTCCATTTCAATCTTTCTCTCAGAAACTTTTTGCTTTTTAGTATAGAGCATGTCTTCACAATTAAAGAATAATAACAACAACATATAAGGTATAAGAACACTATGTGGCGAGAAATAGCACACTAAATGAATCCAGCACCTGACGAGTCACATTGTCCCGCTTTTGAAGCAACTTGTGGATTCCAGATGCTGCATCTTCTAACAGTGGAATTGCCCCACTTTCCAGAGTCAGGTAGCTTTGCCTCAGCTCATCCAGTACTTTGGATTTAATTGCAAGTTGATTTTCTATATCCTGGAAGGGCAAGAGGAGAAGGTTTTCAATGCACAGTACACAAAAGAGTGAAATATAAGAGGAGTTAAATCTTATCAAGTTAAAAAAAAAAAGCCAGTGGAGTATATAATTACACGACATTACATCAAAGAAGTTTTAATCACAGTACACTCAATTCAATTTTATATTCCATGGTTCTACACGTAGAAGAGTCTAGGCAACAAGTCCTTATCCTAGAAAGAACCTAGAAAAGCTGGTCCTCGCTGCACACCTGCCCTTGGCTGGCTTTTTGGCTGGGCCAATGTCATCAGTCCATTCCCCTTTCTCATCTGGATGAGCGATTCTCCATGCTGTGCACATCTGAGAGAGCAGGTGACACCACAGGCAGGAACGTGCTTTCCAATCACAAAGCCTCGTGTAAGTGAAGGTCATAGAATTTACTGGTAGTTCAGTCAGTAATAGCTTTACTATCTACTTATACCTTTTAGTCTATTAATTCACTCATAACGGCACCCCTGACCTTGTCCACTATTTTATTTCTTTGTGTGTGTGTGTGTGTGTGTGTATGTGTGTGCATGCATGCTGCAGACTGAACCCAGAGCCTTGTGTAGGCTAAGCACGTTCTCTACCACTGAGCTCCACCCCGCCCCTTGGTCTACTCTTTACAAACATAATTCCAGAAACCATCAGGAGCCCTCTGCTACGAAGGAGATCATGGACCCAGGAGTCTGAAAACAGCTAAAGGGGGCCAGCAGCGAGATTGCCACTCTTCCCAGAGGAAGGATGGATAGAGGTGCTTATACACCTCTCTCAGGACTGGGGTTAAAGACCAATTTGGAAAAAGTTTAAACTTTTAATTTATTATTATTAGAGAATTACAAACTTGCTATAGAACATTAGGAAAATACAAAAGTCCTTTGGCATTCATAGCTCTTATTCTGAGTTCCTTTCAAGTCTTCAAATGTACAAATCTGGGATGTACATGGGCTCACTTTCTTCAGCATTGTCCTGGATTTCCACCCAGGTATGTGTGATTTGAATGCATGGCCTCCAATTAGTGACCCTTTGTTCAACTTTTCTCTCTTAAAGACTGTTTTTAGCAAGAAATAGGGCTTTATAAAATCTTAATCCTTCAAAAGACTCACTGGGTGGGTCCATAAGGAAAGAGGAACCTGAGCTCCTGGCAGGCATATGGGTGCTGGGCAGGCGTGCTGTGTTTGTACCCTGCTGAGGGATTAGTACCCTGGACTAGTCTCACAGTGTGGTACTGAAATTCAGCCCACACAAAGCTGCCACCTGCGTGAGCCTTCAGCTTATTCCACAAACTTTTTATTTTTATTTTTTTTAGGACCAGGGATTAAACTCAGGGGTGGTCAAACACCAAGCCACATCCCCAGGCCATTTTTTATTTGGAGACAGGGCGACAGCCTTTCTACCAGCGCAGCCCTGAGAGGGACTAGTACCATGGGAGCATACTTCCAGGCATTCTGTTTACGGACTAGTTGTGAAAGCACCCAACAAACCGAGTGGCTTCTCTGAAACAGCTTTGCCAGTGAGACTCACTGAGCCAGTTCCTCTAGCTCTGCCAGCCTCTCTATCACCAAGCATCCTCTATCACCAACGTGGAGCTGACTTCTTTCCTAGCACAGGGATAGCTTGAAACATTTTTAAAACACCAACTTGCCCTCCTCCTTAAAAGCTCAACTAACTAAAGATTTTGTAAAAACACTTACATTTGCTATTAAGTTGTCATATTTCCTCCATATCATAAGTTAATGAAGAGGAGGACTATTGAGTAGAAACAGAGGGAAAAAACACAGACACACAAGAACACCAAAAAGGTAGTATAAATAATAACTGTGGTAACAATAGCACGTGGAGACACACACACACACACACACACACACACACACACACACACACACGAAGCCGTTCTTGTTTGTTTTTCTCCTCAGAACAATCTGGATTTAGCTGAGTGATCCTATAGTCTGACCTTGCAACACAGAGGCCTACCAGGACTTTTCAAGTTTGCTAGTTCCCTGCTCCACTGGTAAATAAATCCATTTTACTTTAAGTCCTAACGTGCTACACTCAAAGGGTGGCATCAAGATATCTGTTGATAATCATGGAGATTCACTAGAATTTATAAGTCCAGCCGTGCTTGTATCATTCCTGGAGAATTGGTGTTAAATATTTTTTAAATACCTAAATTCCTTTGAAATGATCATGAATGAACTTCTGTGAGCGGTGGGTACTTATGGTACAGCAGCATCAAACTTGAGAGATTAATAATCGTATCTCAGACCACCTCATTCTAACCAACTCCGCAGTTTTCCTTACTAATAATATAATATGCCAAACTCGGCCTCTTCCTATTCATCTCGAACCATTAGGAGCCCTTCAGAATGTTTCAAGCCAACACTAACTTAAGTATTAACACTTCATAAACACCATCCTAAGGTTTCTAGAGTAAAGCCACTTTAGCGACAAGCTTCCTGAACTGAAAGATTCTATCCTGGGATCAGTCATGAAATTATTATCATTTTATTTCCTATAATCAATGAATAGAGAAGAAAAGCAAAAATGACTTTTGCATGAAGCACACTTTTAGGTCTTCTAATACATGGGCTCAAGCAACTCTAAGCACCCATGAGTTTCCCAGGCAGTGACAGGCTTAACTGCATGCTAAGTAGCAAGCCTGCCCTGTGAAACCCCCAGTCTAGTTGAGGACAGACAAGTAGACAGATGAGTTCAGTACAGCCTCAGACACAGGGTGCTACCACAGGCCAGGGAAGCTGATTTCATTCACATACTTCCATCTCTACCTTATTTTACAGCCTTTTATAAAGATGCACCTAAGAAAGCGAGGTAAGGAAATTAAAATAGGAAAACAAAAGCTAATGGAAAGTGTGGGGGCCTGTGGGAAGGTGTATAATTGGTGAGCCCAAGGTGAGATCAGGGTGTTTTGGCTGAGTTCTGACAAAGACAGAGGAGAGCTTGTGTGTGGATGGTGGTAGGAGAGCCTTTGAGGGGGTGTCCAGAATCCTACAGTGAGCAGCAACATAGTGCAACAGCACTGGGGCCCAAACTTTGCCCATAGTTCAATGCCACATTCAGGTGGGGACTGACAATGGATACTGATGGCCAGGCACGTGTGCAAATTACATGTGAGGGAAACCATTTCTGATGCAGCCCAATACAACAAGATATGCACACGCCAGGTGGTCAGAGTGCATTTGAATTAGGAAACCCTCATTTCAGAGAGGGCCATCAGAGTGCTCTGAGTTCAACGTCTCAATTAACGTGAGTCATTTTGCCAAGGAGCACAATGAATGTTAGAAATGCTTTTTACAGGTAAAATTAATGGGTTATCAAATAGCATGATGAATATTAGAAATGGGTTCTCACTGGTTACAATTATACATACCAAGGTAGGTGGATTGGCTAAACTACTGTGGACACAATTCTCACCCTTATTGGAACAGAACATAACTGCACATAGCCTGTTCCCTTCACCCTGGTGACAATCCCTAGAAGAAGTTCCTGTGTGGTTCTGTACCCAGCCTAACCTCCAAGGTTGCTGGATGCTTACCATTCCAATACTGGATTCTTGTTTCTGGAATGCTCACACGTATGTCCTTCTTGAGCAAGCCTGGGGCACCATAGGGCAGAGAGAGTTGGGCTTCCTAGAACATTGTATGCACTGCCTTTGTTTCTTGCCAGTAAGTATTTCTACAAATGGTAGAATTTAGTCTGTGTTTTTCCAGTGCCAAGGATCAGACCCAGCACCAGTGTTCTGAGATTTACTTAATTACAACTTGGTGGTGAGGTTGCAGGGAGAACAGCTAAACTGAACACAAACTTGTTCAGAGGTTAGTGTTATCAAAACAAAACAAGAAGACTAAGAATTGCAGAAGGCTTGTTTGCTGTTAGGTCTGTAGGGTAAGGGAAGGTCAGAGAGGGGCCAGAATGCCACCTGAAGCATTTGAACTTCATTCTATGGGCAACATGGAGTCAATGAAGGACTTTTCAGTGGGGCCATTGCTGTGGCCTTTTGCATTTCAGAAGTATTGCTCCACCTTGGTTTGAAGAATGAATCAGAGAGAAACAGACGTAGCTGTGGTAGGACAGGCCTGTGACAAGAGGGGTCTGGACTAGACCAGTCTGGACAGATGTGGACCGACTAGATAGTAGGGGTAAACTGGGAGGACCTAAAGAGTTACTGGAGGTAGAGGCAAGGATGAGAGCTGCTGCTGGGCTTCTGGAAAGGATGGCCAGCAATAGGCTGAGGAACAGAAGCGTCCCATGGAGGAAAGGTGTGGCATCCAAGATGGCTACAAGAAGACTAATGTGGAGATGGAGGGTAGAGGTTGAGAACAGGATGAAGAGAATTTGGAGGGCTGGGGCTGTAGCTCAGTGGGAGAGTGCTCGCCTCGCATATGTGAGGCACTGGATTCGATCCTCAGCACCACGTAAAAATAAAGATATTGTGTCCAACTACAATTTAAAAAGAATTAAAAAATATAAGATAATTTGGAAAGACCTCCTCAGGTGTTCTCTTCCCTCATTTTACATATGCACCATTCTGTAACCTTCACAGATTTGGGATCTGACCCAACTCTCCAGCTCCATAGTGACAAATGCAATGCTTTCACATAGTAGGTACAGAAGCAGCATAGTGTGTGCCATCCCCAGCCATGGCAACAGTGGAAATGGTGAGTGTCCCAATAGGGTGGTGCTAAAGGAGGATGAGTCCACCCTGGGGAGAGGGTCCTTCAAGGACTATGTGACTTGGCAGACAGACAAAACCCTCATACCCAAATGTGACTCAGTCACAGGTTCCAAGGACAAGTAGTTCTTTTAAGACACAAGACAAAATAGATAGAAGAAAATTTTCTTCTGATGAAACACAGAATAAAATACTAAGAATGATAGAAAATTCAGAGTCATTTTGCTAAAGTTGGACAAAATAACAAAACCCACAAAAACTGAAAAGGGGGCACCTAAATCAAAATTCCCTGTCAATATATGCCCCCCCCCTTAAGAGTAATATTGCAACCTCTTGGAAACATTAATAACCATGAAAATACCTTCTTCTGATTATGTAAAAATGGTACTTGGCCATTATGTAAAACCTATAACTAATTATCAAGTTTATGTAAGAAAGTAAGTTATGCCACACACACAATGGCAGTCCCATACAGCCAGGCGTTTGGGGTCTAACCATTCTGGTTTTGCAGAAGGACACTCTGTGTTCCTAAGCACAAGCTTTACAACAGAATCTCCTAACATGCCTCTCTCAGAAAGCTACCTGTCACTAAGCAACACCCAACTGTAAACACAGGGGAGCTTGCAGGAGTGTCCAGAAACTACAGCACTATCCTTCACGGCCAGGCTTAGGACCCTGCAGCCCAACCCTGCCATGTGGAGGGTGCTCAGCCCCTCCTTACCTGACAGTCCAGGAGCACCTTCTCGATGGAGATCACACTTTCCGGTTTTTGTAAAGTTTTCAGCTTCTCTTCTTGTGCTTCCAACCAGTTTTTCAAAATCTGCATTTTGTTTTCATTCTCAGTGATGCTTTCCAAAAATTGTTCTAAATGTTGTATCTATAAATGATAAATAAAATTATTATGAAGGGCTGGAATTGTAGCTCAGTGGTAGAGCACTTGCCTCGTATCCATGAGGCACTGGGTTTGATCCTCAGTACCACATAAAAATAAATAAAGATATTATGTCCATCTACAACTAAAAAAAAAAAATATATATATATATATATAATTAAAATTATTATGAAAACATTCTTATTTTAAGTCCCATGCTTAAAATGTATATGGCATGATATTTTATTTTAATTTTTAAAATTGATTTTATTATTGTTATTTAATACACGACAACAATGGAATGCATTACAATCCTTATTATGGTAAGATATTTTAAAAGGATTTTTTTTTCTTCTCAAATTTCTAATATTTCACATATTAAGATGTATGAATAATTCTGGAATAAAGATTCATCAGTCAGGAAATTGGATTTAAATTCCTCTTTAAAATTAAAATTTTAAATTTTAGAAATTTTATATTTAAAGTAAAAGTTAATCTGCTGAGATAACTGGCTGTTTCAGAGTTTCATAACAACTATACAAAATAACATTAGATTGCTAACATTCAATATTTTTTCTTTGCATTCTCTATAAATATACAAACTGTTTCTGGCAATTTTCTTATTCTGGAGTCTCTTACAGTTGTTTAAAAATTTCTACCAATATCAACAATCTCACAATTCAACAATGTGATTAAAAAATCAGTTTTTATTTTACTAAAAATATTTATTGGTGCATTATAATTATACCTAACAGTCGGGTTTGTTGTTACAAACATATAACAACAAATAGATAGAACAATATAACTTGCACATAGTAGAACAATATAACTTAGTCCCCAGAACCTTCTCTTTCAATAATTATTTTCTGTTTTGTTTTATGGTACTTGGGATTGAACCTAAGGGGACTCTCCATTGAGCTACATCCCCAGCTCTTTTTATTTTATTTTTTTTTTAAATTTTGAGACAGGGTCTTGTTAAATTGCTGTTTAAATTTTGGCTGGCTTCAAATTTTCGATCCTCTTGCCTCAGCCTCCCAAGTACCTGGGATTACATGCATGTGCCACTGTGCCTGGCAATAATTAGTTTTGAATTTTGTAATTCTTCTCATTTCTAATACTCACAATTTTTGTTGCTGTTGTTGGTATGGGGATTGAATCCAGGCCAGATCTACCACAGAACTACACTCCTAGCCCTTTTTATTTTTGAGACAGGGTCTCACTAAGTTGCTGAGGCTGGCCTCAAATTTGGGATCCTCCTGCCTCAGACTCCCAAGATGCTGGGATTATAGGCATGTGCTGCTGCACCCAGCTTAATATTCACATTTTTTAAATTAGTTTTTAATCATAGTATATATGAAGTTTCTTATTACTTTTCCTATATGTTTGAAGGCTTTGCTGATATTACTTTTAAAAGGCTGCTCAGTATTTTATCAAATGGACATAGTATCTTTTGATTAATTATTCCCCTAGAGTTTGAAATTAAGGTATTCTGCACTTTTGAAAGTATAAATAATGTTGAGCACTTCATGCAGACTTTTTTTTTTAAATACCTACTTTAAATAGATAAGAGCTGGATTGCTGGGTTAAGAGAAAAGATGGTTTTTAAAATTTCCCAATGCTTTCCAAAAGAGTAGTGGAGCCATTACAGTATCAGCAACATATGAATGTTCACTTTGGGCTTATATTCTTGTTTTATTAACATTTCCTAAGTTGGGCAAGGTGGCACACACCTATAGTTCCAGCTACTCAGGAGGCTGAGGCAGGAGGATTGCAAGTTTAAGGCCAGCCTTGGCAAATTAGCAAGAACCTGTCTCAATGTAAAAAACAAAAGGGCAGGGGATGTACCTCAGTGTTCAAGTGCTCCTGGGTTCAATTCCCAGCACCAAAACAAAAAACAAAACAAATTTTCTAATTTAATAAGTGTATGTTACATCATTTAGTTTAAATATCTGATAATCAAAGTTGACATATTTCAGCGGCACCTGAATTAATAGGTGGGAGCTTGGTTCCTATTTTGTGAAATGTCTGCTCATGTTCTATGTCCATTCATGTATTTGAATCTTAATTGCATAAATCTATTTGTATGCATTCTCTATACAAAAAAGAGATCACACACACACTTTATACCATATATTTTTAGTGTATATATACACTATGTATATATACTAAATATATGTATACTATATATATACTATATATAAATATATACACATACTATACATATGTATATATGTATATATATAATATTTTTCAGGAATAAGTTTTTTTCATCTTTTCAAGAATCACGGAGTAAAAAGCCTACCAAAAAGCCACAGGCAATTTTTTCCTTTTCATAATCTTTTCAAGGCTGAAATAGCTTTAAGTCCCTTTTGAACATCTGCTTTCACAGAAAATGTCAAATTCTCTGACCTTTTAGTAGCCTGACATAATATTGACACCTTTTAAAACAAAAGTTCTCCTCTTTACTGCCTAACTCAATTTCCCACTAAGAAATCTCAACAGGAATATAAGAATTATTCATATTCCATGTACCCATAGAGAATGCTAATACTATATTACATGTACCCATAGAGAATGCTAAAGCCTAGGGTCTATAAAGAGGCTATGATTATTAGGTTCAACTGTAAATCAACCATCTAGATGCCTTTTTTTGGGAGAGGTGACTGAGGGGGAACCCAGGGACACTTAACCCTTGAGCCATATCCCCAGTCCTTTTTATTTTTTATTTTGAGGCACTAAGTTGCTTAGGGCCTCACTAAATTACTGAGATTGGCTTTGAACTTGAGATCCTCCTGCCTCAGCCTCCTGAGTCGCTATGATTACAGGATAGGCCACTGTGCTGGCCTGAATATCTTTTTTAATTTTTTGGAACCTGGTGTTTTACAAAAGCCAAAACATGCCTCCAACCGTGACCCTGGAGCATACCTTTTTATTCAGGGTTCCATGTACTCGGTGCCATTGGCGGTTCATCTCCCCCAGGTGCTCTGCAAACTCCGTCCTTTCATAGCGCTTGCTTTCTACATCACAGGTGCTTAACTGAAGCAATGACTGGTTAACAAAGTCAACGATCCACTGTTTATAGTCCATTTCCATTCTGAACTCCTACAACACACAAAGAAGTGAAATTAAACACGCTAAGTCGGAATGAAGTCCATTAGATGAACTGGATTTCCCCTTGGCTGTACTCTAGGGGGCGCCAAGCTCCCACCCATTAATTCAGGGTGGGCTGTCAGGAGTTACCTTCTACCTTCCCTAAGTCTTATCAGGAGGCTGCTTTATTTGAGTAGGGATTCTTCTTGGGGATTACATATTCCTGGGAACAGAGAGACTCACTGCTTCAGACTGAAGGGAAAGTCCAAGGGAGCACCATATATGGTAGCTACTGTCATCAGAATGTGTATCAAGTCCCTGGAATCTTGTGAGAGAATATCAGAGAGCTATACTGGATCCTGAGTTTCCCTGAAGGCTCATGAAGACAATAGGCTGGAAACAGAAGTTAAAGCTTTCCCAGAAAACCCAGAACACCTTTAAGGAATTTAGGCTGCTTCTTTGTTCCTTCGGTGACAGTCTGTGCCACCTAGGGTGGCTTGGATGACTTCACATTCTATAGCAGTCCTAAACCCACTGAAAGGCCAACTAGGTTCCTGTCAAGCCTGCCATTTGTTGGGTTTTATCTGGGAAGGTTCTAACACATCCTATGGAGACAATCCAGGGGGGTCATCACGTGGCATGGGCTAGGTTACTGCAGCCTGAGTAGCCCTTTTATATAGACTCTGCTACCCACTGAGGTTAGGAAGTGTCGGTATGTAAAAACATTTTCTGTTAATATTATACTTGGTGATCAAGCTATTCATCTCCTGCCTATCAGAGACCAGTTCCAGCAACTTGCAAGGTCTTTGAAAGTAACAGCCAGCCTTGTCATTCATCTTTGCATTCCCAGTGATTAGCACACACTGCCTGGCACTTCTTTTTTTATGGGTATGAGAGAAAAATTTAATTGCTTTTGCAAAAAACATCTGTATGAAGTAGAAACTGGTTTCAATAACATTAGTAGAGAATATGTTCTAGAAAGTAGTGGAGGTAACTGGATGTAAAATTCTGGCAGTAATTTAATAGAACAGGCTGAGGCCAAAAGCCTTGTCTATGGGGAATTTGGGATGATAAACGCAGGAATGGTACACTGTGCATAAAGCAAATTGGATTGTTTTGACAAGTGTTGTAAAGTTTCATATAGTAAAAGGTTTCTCCTACATGTACTTCAGTTTCACAGCAAGAATGGCTCTGAACACCCCAACACAGAGGAAAGCATTCATGCAAGATATCTAACTCCTGATACAAAGCATACACTTTAATATGATCACATGATCATTACATCTAGGGCCCTGTGCCCTAAATGGTGATGGTTATGGACAGCATGGCTCTGGTAAGGACATCTAGAAAGCAACTATCACCTTCTACCTGTGTTCTCTTTTTAAGTTTTTTTTTCCTTCATTTTTCTTAATTCTGCTGTTGTCGCAAGCTTCTTAGCAAAACTGGTAAAAACAAAACTGTAATCATTGAACACAGCACTCTTGCAATCAAAGACTTTCAAACCTTCAGTCTTCTGGGGTGAAGAAAGCACAGTATGAAATTTAGAACTCTGATTAACAAACAAGGTGGTCACAGTGTTTTCCTGGCTTCAAGACTTCCACAACTTTCCCAAGAGATCATCATAAGAGGGTTGACTTAAGTTTGTTTCAAATTTAACATAAGGAACTACTGGTTCTGGAGTGATGTGAACAGTCCCATAAGTTCCATCTGATTTCATTCCATTCATTGAATACCAGGATTGAACAGTGTGGCACTGATGACAGAACCTGGAATCAATCAGGTCACAAATTCTACTCTCCTGAGTGACATTCTTTGCAGTAACACAATCTTTCCTGTAGAACTGGTCCATAACTGCTGGGTCAAGCTCACTCGTCAAAATTTCTATCTGACTATTACCCGACTCTCTGGGAACTCCAGAGTACACAAGTTCCAAATAGTCAGAATTCATAACATTCCATACACTATGTGGCTCCATTTGGAAAAACTGCATTAAGAAGCTCTATTTCTTCCTGGAAATTCTGGTTTGGGTATCATTGGTGGGAAGGCTTCATGAAGCTTTGAAATGAGTCAAATCCACTGTAATCCCTAGCAAGCTTCAACAGGGGAACCAGTGCTTTCAGTAAAAGGGTGGCACCATGTCTTCAAATGAACCATCAATTGGAGACAAACACGCTACTCTCACTGAGTACACGAGCTTCCTGCTTGCCAGTTTTTATCACATTTATGACTGAACATTGCACATCCTTCAAAAGTACATCACACTCAGATCTTGGGAGAGTGTGAAGATCCCAAGACCCTTGGCTTGCATTGGGCTGCTGCTGGGAGCACCAAACCTCTAGCAGCTTCTCGGGTCTTTGGAAAAAGTATGTAGAGATGGCAAACAACTAACACCCACAGAAAATCAACTAAATTAAATCTCTTCTCCGGCCTCTGGGGATTGTTCCAGCTGTTACTGAAGTTCAGGTTCCTTTTTTTTGGGGTATGACTTTATATTACATTTTAAAAAAAGGGATTAATAAAAATTTCCCAGCTTTGCATGTGTGTGTGTGTGTGTGTGTGTGTGTGTGTGAGAGAGAGAGAGAGAGAGAGAGAGAGAGAGAGAGAGAGAGAATGCCAAAGCTGAATTTGAGTCTGTTGGAAATAGAGGCAGATATAGTTCATTCTCTTGTCATCTGCCGCTTTCCTGTCACAGAGAGTAGAGTGAGCCTTAGCTACTGTCACTGGCCATACTGTGTTAACCCAATGTGCCTTCTTTAAATGTTAATTAAATCTACATGAAATGAAGTACCACAGAGAGGGCCACATTCATATCTGTAGCAGGATACCAGCTTTTTCTTCCTCATTCTCTTGCTGACAGAATATTTATTTCTTTATTTATGTTGATACCAGGGACTGAACTCAGGGACCCTTAACCACTGAGCCACATCCCCAGCCATTTATTATATTTTATTTAGCGATAGGGTTTTATTGAGTTGCTAAATGCCTCTCTAATCTGCTCAGGCTGGCTTTGAACTCGTGATCCTCCTGCCTCAGCCTCCTGAGTTGCTGGGATTACAGGTGTGAGCCACTGCATCCAGCCAGAATTTTTTTTTATTTTTCTTTCTTTCTTTTTTTATTTATTTCTTACATACATGACAATAGTGGAGTGCATTACATTCATAATTATCTATTCACAGCACAATTTTTCATAACTCTCTATATAAAGTATGTTCATGCCAAATTATGCCATTATACATGAGCTCTCTTATTTTTTTTTGCATACAATTCTTAATACACTTTTATACCACAATTTATCATATCTCTGTTTGTACAGTATATTTATTAAAACCCACTGGAGGCCAGCTGTTGGGCTATGTGTGCTATTCTTGGGAAGAGAAGGATAGCCCCTGCTCTCGAGAAGCTCAGTCAAGTTAGAGAAGCAGTTGAGTAAATAAATGATAATTTATAAATAAAAACTAGAGAGCAACATGGAGACATTAACTCAGCACTGTCCCTTAATCCAACTGGGAGAGCCAGAGTGGATTTGTCAATGAGGAGAACCCTGAGCTGGCTCTTGCAGGATGATTAAGAGGATGTCTGCGGCTAACAGTGGGCAGTGGCAGTCCAGGTCAGAGGTATAGTATGTTGACTGGGGAGGTAAAGGAAGACCTGAGTCCATTAAAAAGCTTGGATGGTCCTGTAGTGGTCAGAGCTATAAAAGAATGCAAGTGAAATAAAAGCCAGTGGACTACCTCATCATTTCTAGAATCATCTACCACCCTATTCTCTATTCCCCAAATCAGTGTTCCTACATTATTTCCCACATGGCTCTGGGTTCAGCATTTCCCTTCCAAGTGATCTACTTCTTATTTAATGAAAAGACTGTGGCTCCTGGCGTAATTACCTTGAGCTTCTGAAGAAGATTCTTTACTTGAGACTCAGAACTAGGGAAGTGCGCAGAGTCTTCACCTGCAGCCTGATACTCCACGCTGTTCATCCAGCTAATCATTTCTGTGATGGCTTTACGAGATGGCAATTTCTCCATCTGAAGCTGCAAGGACAAAATGATTTCCATTTAATTATCTACTGTTAACGAAATGAATCAGGGCATCACTAAAGACGGTATCTGGTTTGATATAAGGTCTTGCTACATAATGATGCAGGTTACTCACAAAAACAAATCCAGCATTCAAGCTCAGAAAATGTGCCCCCCCCCCAAACAACGGTGAAGACCTTCACATAAATGAACAGAGTGGCACGGATAAACTGAGAAATAAAGTAATTAAGCCCAATTTCTCTGTGAAGAAAGATCTCATTGGAGGACAGTCCAGTAATGAAGACCTCTATATTCAGTGGTGCCAGAGAAAAATAGGTAATGTCAATGAAAATTATTGAGTCAGAGAAATAATTTAAAAAGATTTGTAAGCTAACAAGTGCACGCTAATTTAAATGCTGGGTGTCTAAACACTTACCTGATGAAGCTTTTCTTGAATATCTGGAAGCTGAGTTATGAGCATGGTCCACTTTTGTTCAAACTGGGCTAAGGAGGCTCTCAGCGAGGCCGTGTCGGTTTCCTTCAGGTGCAGAAGCTGGTTCCCAGTGCTTAAAACTGCAGTCTTCAGGGAGGACTTTCCATCCACTTCCTTGGAAAATTCCTAAGGAAACAGTTGTAAAGAACAGAAACGTTTAAAATTTAAATACAGTCAGAGCAACTGGTTAGAGTGCAAAACTAAATGGAATAAGAGTTCGAATGTCTGTGTACACACACACACCCGGCTTTGCCTACCAAGTGTTGGCACTACTCTGTATATTAGATCCACATGGGAGAACAAAAGAGATGGAAATCCTGCCCCTCCAGAAACTTAGAACCTGGTGGGTTTTTAGAAACAGACAAGTTATTTGAGTTTCAGAAGAAACCATGGAACTCAACTTCAAGTTCAGATTACATGAACCACTTGCAATGAATTTTTAACTAAAATATTTGAAAAATTTCCCATGTACATTCCCAAGTATTTAAAAAATTATTTACATTTTAATACCAAAGTGAAGTGAGTAACCATAGCTACAAAATATACTTTTTTTTTAAAAAGGGAAAAAGGTTGGGATTGTTTAGGGGCAAGGTTTAGGGGTTTTCGGGGTTGCTTTTTCCTTTCCAAAGTTATCCTTTTTTTCCGGAAACCCCTTCAAACCCTTGGACCAAAATTTTTTTTGTAGAAATGCCAGTTCTGTATCCAATAATTTAAAACTGTATATTTATTAACTTAAAACATTTATGAATTAATAATATTACATAATTGTTTTTAAATTTTGGGGGGAGGTATTTTCTGTATTTGTAAAGCATGTCCCATGTCAAAGCAAAAGATTTATACATAATATATATTTTAGTGTAAAAGACATTATTAAATAGTCAATTAAAGATACATTCTATCATTATAAATATATAAATAAACAGTATAAGCAGATAATTCTAAGTTTGAAGACCACAGATACAATTACCTCAAATCTTACTCCTTACCCACAAAAGAAGGAAGATTATCACAGCAACCCTGAACCTGTTCCTCTGATAATTTATTTCTGACCAAAAATTATTTGAATATATTCTATTGCAACTTACAAAAAAATTATTTATGTTGTTTCTGATTGTATCCAAGTCCTGAGACGCATTGAGGGACTGTTCTTTCCAGTGATTCAAAGTTTGCTGAGAAGATTCCAACCACTTGGTTAACTCATCTGAATCTCTGTTGTAACTAATAGGAGCAAAGTGGGAGAAAGGAAATTAGAAAGGTACTCTGATGATGAGGTATACCACTAGCATATTTCTTCTTATTTTATTTTGTATTTGCCTGTGTTGATCAGCCCTATATTTCAGAAAATCAAAACAATTATAAGGATTATATGATGGATTATTTCATGCCTCAAATGCGAACATCTCTTAATAAATAAAAATAAAATAAAATATTCTTTATTTCTTATACAGCTACACAAAAGTATACTCCTGTGTAAAAAAGAGATTATTTTTTAATCCATCAAATGTCTTCTATAAATTCATTTAAGTAAACATACAACAAGCATTTGTGCAAGATGTATAATAACAAACTGCTGTTGCCTGGATTCAAAAATTTTTTTCTCTGATATTTGATAAAAATATCCAAACAAAGTGCTGCTCTTCTTGTCACTTCCAAAACTTGTTTAGGGTTTACAGCCTTCGAGAGGCAGGGATGAGAATGAGGCTTCAATATTCTGTTTTCTGCTGTCCTTGAATGCTTCAAGGTTATCCCAACTGAGCAAAACAAACCCTCTGATGAACTCAAAAGACTTTTCCAAATCATTGTTTTAGCCCAAATCATTTAATTTTGTTTAAATTTTAGAACTTAACAAAGAGGATAGAAAAACTGCAACAGCATAGGATAAAGGGAACATGAACTATTTTATAACACAGTTCCTAGTTTCCATAAATCTATATCAATGTTCTCCAGCCAGCTGATTCCTGAGTCTAGCACACCAATATCCGAGGCCTGTATCAGATCCCATTAATCCAGAAGTGGATCCAGGTGCTTTAGATTGTCAAAAAGAACAGCATAGCATAACCGGGAGACTGCATGCAAAATTTAGTTGACTGCAGAATCCCTCTGAAGTCTTTCTTCACAGCAAAATTTAAAGCCAATCATTTCCAAAGAAAAAAACATACCTGACTAGGTGCTTGAGAAGTGTTTGCAGTCTGTGCAGTTCAAGGTCAATCTTCTTGTTCAGGGACAGCCACTGCTCTTCCAGTTTGGCAATCTGTCCCTCCAGTTCAGGACAGCTCACAGATGCCACCAGCTGTTTGCCTTCATTTAGAGTTTGGTAGAGCCGGGCATGCTTTCCATCAATGTTTCTTTTTATTTGCTAATAAGTCATGGAGTGAATGATTTAAAAAAAAAAAAAAACAATCAAGTCTACCAATCTATTCACAAACACAAAAACCTACGTTCCAGGCTACTGAAGAAATGAGAATACTTAAGCAACATTCAGGACTGCTGTCTGGCTGGACAGACGTGATTAATGGGCCCCTTTCATAAGAGGGCCTGATTAATGTGTTTCTATAGAGCAGCTCTGTAACTTAGTACAGGTAAACAAGAAACACGAGATTTGTCGAGTAAGTTCTGATAGTTAATTCTTCCAACTAAAAACAAAAGGAAAAAAACAAAACAAGGTGGCAGTCTATTGGCTGCATTCAGCTTGCAGACGGATTTCTCTCTCTCTTTTTCAAACAAGGCTGGCCTGGGCTCAATGGGTCCTCCTGCCTCAGTCACCCAAGTAGCTGGGACTATGAGCATAGGCTACTGTGCCTCGTTTTTCAGTCAGGTTTTGATTGATCTCAAGATCATTTTGAAAATCAGGATATTTTACATAGAATTGACATAAAATAAAGAAATTTGGATTTCCAGAGCCCCGGGGGGAAAACCAGAAGATGTAGGGATTGCAGTTCTGCATTGTCCTGTGGCAAAGCATGGCTAGAAACAAGCAGCCACAGCCTCCTTTAAAAGGGTCTGCTCCCTTCAGTTCTTTCCTACCTTGGTCCTCCCAACCCTGACTGCAGACCCAGCCAGAATTCCTCATTCCTGTTCCCCAGCCTGGCCCCTGGGACACTGCAGACTGAGACCCACATAGAAAAGCGATAAACATAAAAGATGCAAATACCAGGGGAAAATCATTTCTATAGTTTTCCGAATAAAAGGATCCAGGAGAGAGAAAGAGAACTTCAGAAGAATAAATTAAATCAGCACATCATTCAACTCAAGTCATGAAAAGAGAAAGAAAAATTCTTCAAAACTGCAAATACAACGACCCCCTGAAGAGAACTGTCTTAAGGCAATTATCTTCCACAAGCTGGGTTCAGCTAATCTCACTTATCCTGATAGCTGTTTAACCTTTTAAATACAAATTATTATCAAAATAGAACTTCTGCGATTTTCCAATTCACTTAAAGCTTGTTTAAAAATTACCCGAATATTTCAACTCCCTTTCCTCCTTTTATAATCCTTTCTCCTCTTCCCTGAGCTTAAAGGCTAGAAAAAAAATCCAATATCAATTTTTTTAAAAACGTCCTAGTTTTCTAAGCCTAAGTGCCAGACGTTTCACCGTTACAGTATCTTGGAGAAGTTTCATTCCTCTATTTCATACCTGGGAGACAGACTTGATACCCATAAACCTCTCCAGGATTATAAGGACCAAGATTGGCCTCAGGAAGCCTATTTGTGTGAAGGGTTTTATGGGATGTCTTCTTTTAGTATAGCAAATTTATTTAAAAGACATAGAACAATGATTTCTTTTTTAAAAAAAAATACTTTAAACTTAAGGGAACCATACTCACATTTTAAGGGATGTGGTCACTTTTTGGGGGAGGTGGGGAACAGATAATGAGGCTCATTAGATGGCTAATATTACTTCTTACTATGGTATGGTTTAAAATACTGTTTTCGACTGTGTTCTTTCAGCTGTGAGATGGCATGCTCTGTATCCCCAGGCCAGCACCCACTCACCCCCTGGGAAGACCCAGATTCATCTGCTCCAGGCTCTCTGGGATGCTGGAGGGTATAAAGAGTGCCCTGACCTCTGGAAAGTGTTATCAGCAGGTCACTGCCATGCATCTCGCTTTCACTTCCCATCCCGTCTCATCAGGCACAAAGCTGACTTTTGAAGCTTTCATATTGATCGTTGGTGATTTTCTCTAGCAGCACAACTCAAATTCTGACTGTGTACCTTCTACAGGTAAAACTGAGTATTTTAAGCTTCTGATGGAAGAATTTGAAACTTGTTTTTGTCTTAGTCTTGTTTCAATGCCACCAGAAATCATATTAATGTTTTATCTTTTCTATGACATCAAAATTGGAGACATAGACCCTTCAATAATAATTGGACCAAAAATGACACAAGAAATGCTTAAAAGTTTGAAGTCTTTTTTAAAATATTGCAAGAGGCAACAGATTCTGTCTGTCTTATAGGCTAGATCTCATCAGGGCTTCATTGCAGTAAGAAAGCTAAATGTATGTTTATTCCATTCTCAGCGGGTTTCTATAACTAGTAATATATTGCTATTCACCTCCTGAGACAGGTGGAACCGGCTTACTTCTCTGTTCTCAACAAAGAAACTAAGGTTTTGGAGGCAGTAAGGTCACAAAAGTGACAAGTGATGGAACAGGACTTGAATTAGTCTTCAACTCCAAGCCCAACAGGTGGCTACGCTGAGGAGCCCACATGGAACCTGCAGTATCCCTACACTTGTGTACCTGGAGGCTGTGTGACAAACAATATTTCATTTCAATCCAAACCATTCAGCTTCAAAAGCAAGCAACTTAATCAAAACAAGACACCAAGTGCTACGGACCATGTCATTGGCAACTTCAATTAGGAAGCAAAAATACCTGATAAAATGATATCCTTTCCACTAATCTCTCCTCTGTTTCTTCCACCAAACTCACAGAAGGCAATGTAGAGACAAGAATTTCCAGGTCCTTTTCCAGAGATCCATAGTTTTCATCGAATTCTTCCCATTTCTAGAGAATCAACATAAAATCAGAGATGTAACCCACCCTAAAGAACGAATGTATTAGGCAATTCAGGAAAAATGATTAGATTATGAACATTGTAACCTCATAGAGGATTAATCCATCTGATGAATAATTTGAATGGACTAGTTGGAGGTAATTATAAGCAAGTGAGTAGTTGGTCACTGGGTATGACCTTGGACTACATCTTGTCGCTGGCTCCTCTCTCTCCGTTTTCCAGTTGCCATGGGCTAAGCAGTTTCCTTCCGCCATGCCCTGCTGCCATAACGTTTCCTGTCATGGACTGAACCTCTGAAAGTGTGAGCCCCAAATAAATGTTTTTCTTCTCTTAAGTTGTTCTTGTCAGGTGTTTTGGTCACAATGACAAAAAAAAACTAATGCATATCGTTTCCATAAAAGAGAGCTACTTAGGGTCCCAGCACACCAGAGAGTTGAATTATTGTCACCAAAAATGACCTCTCGGAAAAATCACCACCTAATTCTCATCTCTCTTCAAGTAGTGGGTTACCCTGGCTTTTCTAGGGCATTCACTGGGCCCATGCAATGTCTTCTAAATATGATGAAATAGTAGTATAAATATCAATTTGGCGTACTAGAAAATAAATGTTACCATAAAATGCTATATTACACTACCAAATTCAATACTCCTTTCCCTTTTAAAAATTTCCTTTATGTGCTAACTAACATTGGTTGTGAATGGTTTAATATGCTAGAGAGGGAAACCTTAAAACTGAAAAGAAACTTTATACATGCTCAATTTTTTCCCTTGGAATTGAGACAGCATGGTTATGAATTTGGCAACAGAACGTCTGGGCCAGGGGTACAGTTTCTGAACCACTAACTGTGTCATTCAAATGATTTGGCCCACAGTCTCAATGTGCTTTCAAGTTGGTTTATTTATACACAAACCTAAAAGGTAGAGATGCCATATCATCCCAGATGTGTGCATGATGGAACAGGACTAAAGAAAAGCTAGGGAGGAGCCTCGGAATTAGACCTGGGTTCACATTCCTCACTGTTATTTCCCATTTAACTTTTGCTTAATAACCGGATACTTGTTTCTGACACCTGAAGAGTGGTTGAGAATCAGGAATTCTCAACTAAGGGTAAAGTTCAAGTAAGTCAAATACCTGCAACAAACTCTGCAGCTTCATGCCAAACTGCTGTGCCTTTCCTTCCAGGGATTTAACTTCGGTTACTTGTTCTGCCCAAAATCTCTCTCTCTTTGGTAACACGGAAGGAAACATTTTGTCATAGTATGTTTGGATCAACAACATGTTGGCAACAAGCTTCTTGAAAAATACCTATAATACAGGAAAAGGTTTTAAACATTTTTAAATTGTGAAAAATCATATAAGCCAAGTTACCTTAACTTTTTTTTTCCCATGGAGAGGTGGGTACCAGGGATTGAATTCAGAGGCACTCAACCACTGAGCCATATCCCCAGCCCTCATTTGTATTTTATTTAGAGACAGGGTCTCACTGAGTTGCTTAGCACCCCACTTTTGCTGAGGCAGGCTTTGAACTCGCGATTCTCCTGCCTCAGGCTCCTGAACTGCTGGGAAGTTACTTTAACTTTTTATCCAGTTATTTTTGTTTTTTAATTCAAAATCCCAGGATATCAGGGAGAGTCAAATGTATCAAAAGATAAAAAGTAAACTGAAATGGATCTCTTAATCTTAAAAATTAATGGACACTGAACAAATTATAAAGAAATATTATCCTAGGGGCTGGAGGTATAACTCAGTGATATGTATGAGGGACTGGGTTTGATCCTCAGCACTGTATAAAAATAAAAAATAAAATAAAGGTACTCTGTCCATCTACAACTAAAAAAAAATGTGTGTGTGAGACACACACACATATATATACATATATATAAGAAATATTATCCTTAAGTAATATTTTCCACAAAATATTGTGTTCCATTATTGTTAGTTAACTTCAATTTCAGGCAGCTCTTCCTCAATCAGTTGTTTTGAGTTGTAAAACATTATGGGAAGGTGGCTGAATCATTTGAAGACAGTAAGTGCAAATGCTTGCAGCCCACATGCTTAGCAGACAAGGTTCCTAAAGCCTGACTCCTTCTAACTCTGGCTTCTGCTCACTAAAATGGCTAAGTGAAGGGATTTTCCTAAAGGAAGCTGATAGGGCTCCCTATCCACAAAATGGACCATATTTGTACTTCAAGCATCTTCAAGGTTCCTCTCATTTGCAGCCTGCTACCTCTGCTGGTTGTTCAGAGGGACCCCTGTATTAGGCAAATCCCTTCTCCTGTTCCTTGAGAAGGACACATACAAGGAAGGGTTTGTAAAAGCATCTAGCAAAGGGTCTGGCACTCTGTAGATACCAATTTTCTCCTCTTCCTTTCCATCCTTCATTCAATATTTACTTTTCAATTTTTCTTAGACTAAGGCATCCTTTCCAAAGGCCCTAGACTGTCAGCTTGTTCAAGGTAGGGACGATGCCTTATCCATTTCTCATCAGGAGACTTAGATTAGTACACCTCTTTAGCCAGTGATGATCAAGAGGTTTTTGTTTAATAATAGGAATGGAAGATGGGAGGATTTACTATGGTATTATTCTATATAAAAATACCTCTTCCTTGTAATTCCAGTTCTCAAAAAGCTACCCCCCTTAGGTCCATTTCTCCTATGCTCTCATTGAACGATTCCTAATTTTTAGTGGAAATTCGTTTGAAGACTCATTGATAAAAGTCCATCTTCTCAATCAGCTGAATGCTCTATCAACATAAGGAGCTGTTTCTATTTTCACTCAAACATATTCCTAGGTGTCCCCTGATGTCTGCTACACACTAAGAGGCTAAGAGATAGTTTTTTAAAAAATATTTATTTTATAGTTGGACACAATACCTTTATCTCACTCATTTATTTTTTACATGGTGCTGAGGATGGAACCCAGGGTCCTGCACACGCGAGACAAGCGCTCTACCTCTGAGCCACGACCCCAGCCCTAAGACACATTTATTAGAAGAATAAATGCTGCATGTTTCACTACGAAGAAAATGGATTGTTTCCATTCAAAGTCAGAAGAGCCTTAAGCTTTTAGTCCAGGACAAGGGGATCCAAGCTGGGTATCTTACCTTGTGATTTTGTATTTGAGTCTGTAAGGCAACTTTACTTTTGGCTTGTTTTAAGTGGCCATGAGCAAGCATTTCCTTTCCAATATTTACTAGTTCCACTGTGCCTTGTAGAAGGGCATGTTGCTGGCTCTCAGTGATGAACGGGCTACTGAACCCAGAGTACCTCGCTCTCAGGATCCCCCACATACTGTCAAGTACATCCTGAGAAGGAAAGAGCAGGTGTGCAGAAGCAATTTCATCCAACCAGAAAAAAAAGTTCAAATGCAGGTCAACATTCACTAGGTGGAAGACCAAAGCCTTCTCCTGCACAATCATCGCACTGAGTGAATGTGTTCTGCCCAGACATACCTCTAACTTGTAAACCTCCTGGAGTAAAACACAGGGTAAGCGAAGCCCTCTCCCCTTCGTCTCTTAGTTTGGCCACTCGGCTCTCAGAATTCTGCAGCTCTGCTGTATATAAATCTGCTTTCTAAGGGAGAGATGATACAAAAAAGGAATACCCTTTAATAAGCCTGAAAAGTACATATTATTTAAAAAAGAATTAAATAGGACGGAAAGGAATTAGGGAAAAAAATTGATCATATTTACCTCTTCCTCACCCTCAGTTCTCCTTGTCAATCTGCCTGGAGGTCACACAATTGACAGTTTGTTCCTAACACATTCTAAGCACACACCATTGCAGGTACACGTGCACGTCCTTAAACCCACTGAACTATCCTATCGTTATTCCTCACTTATCAGCCCTTTAGCATCTCTTCATATCATGTATCTGGCTCTTTTTTTTTTTTTTTTAATGAACCCAGGAGCACTTTACCACTGAGCTATATCCCCAGTGCTTTTTTATTTTTTATTATGAGACAAGGTCAGGCTAAGTTGCTGAGGGCCTCACTAAGTTGCTGAGGCTGGCCCTGAACTAGTGATCCTCCTGCTTCAGCCTCCTGAATCGCTAATATTGCAGATATTGTACCAGTCATCACACCAGTTGGCTCCTTTTAAACAGATACATAATGTGCCATTGTAAGGATGCACCCTGCTGTAGTATTAGGCAGCTCTTCATGGACTTTTGGGTTATTTACAGTATTGCTAGGTCCATCTCCAGATATGTATGATATTTATGTTTATCCATTTATTTTGTATCCTCAGAAAGAGCACAAATAAGCCCCTAGAATGATAACTAACATAGTAAGTTCTCAGTTAGTATTTGCTCAATTCATTAATGAAGTCAAATTGCTGTGAATGGAAGAGCATTTAAGATTCTGTCATAGAGCCAAATGGTTCCCAGAGGCTGAACTAATTAGTGTTCTGACCAAGAGGGTGAGGGCCTCGTTTTCCATCACCCTTACCAACACTGGACACATTTAACATTCTGCCATGCTGATAGGTAAAAATGGTCTCATACTGTTGAGTTGTTCTTCAGAAAGGACTACTTGGGAGATATTTTTAAAAGTCAAAAATCAATAGTTTCATCTTCTTGCTCTCCTCAAGCCTGGCTACCGCTCACAAAGGGTAGTGGTTCAGAAGTACCAACTGGTGCACAAGACTCTCTGGCCCGAGGTTTAGGTTAACTTGAAGTATTTCATTGATTACCTGAAGCTGTTCACCAATACTCTGGCCACGCATTTCATTCAAGGACTGTTGTAAAGCTGTCTTATTCTTAATGAGTTGATCATACAGTCGCTTTATTTCATTCTGTATAAAAAAGATAAGTGCAGGAAACTGAGCAATCTCACTTAGGCCTTCATTGTCTTTTTAAATTATATTTATAAATTTTCAGAATTTGTATAAATTTATATATACATTTTCTGAAAATTAATAAAAAAAATCTGGAAACTTAAAACACATACAAAAATAGAGTAATCCCCGCCTTATCATCACTGAGCTTCAACAATTATTGGCTCATTGCTGACCTTCTTTCCTCTATAGCCTCCTCCAGTTCTCCTGGATGTTCCTACCACCTCCCCCCTTGTTATTTTGAAGCAAATACCAGAAATCAAGTTATTTCATCACTACGTTTCAGTAGGTTTCTCTAAGTGATGAAG